AATGAGCTTCCAGTGCCATGTGTGGGTGACCAGTGACAGCTTGGAGGCAAGGACACTGGGCTGGCTGGCGGGGATGCCCCCAAGCCTGCGGAGGCAGGGACTCCCCATCAGCGGTTCTCTTGTTAAAGGAGCCACCCCCAACCTTCACAAATGCTCGCCCCGTGGTGAAGGCAGACTGCCGCTCTGCTGACACTGTCCCGGCCCGTGGGCGTCCTCGGATGCCGCCTCACTGAGCTCTGCACCAAATCTAATAGGACATTTGAACGCCCTCCCCCGGGGGAGGATTAACCATAAAAAGGACGCTTGCCTGGGCGGTCGGCGTGCAGCAGGGAGTGAGGCCGCCCCGTGGGGCCTGTGTGCCAGCTCTCCCGGGAGAGGGGCCTTTTGAAGGCCGGACCCGAGGTAAGCGCCACATTTAACCCAACGCCCCCTGTGGTGCCCCCGGGCCTTGAGCACATCGCCCGCAGAGTCTGTGGCTGTTGGGCGTCCGCTGTGAGGCGGGGCCACTCTCCACCGGCCAGCGAGGCGGGCGGGGGCGGGGCGGGGAGGACCCCACACGCTGCCTGGTGACTCGGGAGGCCATGGCTCAGTGAGGTTTTCTATTAAACCGGAAAGACACAACTTGCCCCAAACATCACTTCTTCGGGCGTCTCGGACCAGCTGTTCCCCGCCGCCCCGCTGAGGGACAAATTGTCTTCCCGGCAGGTCGCTCGGACCCGCCCGCATCCATGGTCTGGTGGCCCCAGCATCCGGCCGGCGGGGAGGCGGTCTGATGCGGGTGACCGGGTCATCTCCGTGTCGGGCCAGAGCCAGGATGCCCGCGGGCGTTCCTCAGCTTCTGGAAGTGCCCGCCATCCGCGCTTCCCCCGCCTGGCGGCCGCGGGGAGCCGGCCAGACCGTTAGACGGAGGATAATGGCAAACGCCACGTGACGCCGCTTGTGGTGATTGTTCTGGCAGCAACGGGAGGCTGACAAGCAGTGTCTTTTACAACTTGACTTTTTTTTTTTTAAGTTTAAAATATTGGATCCCATGTGAACTTCTGTGGCAAACAACCCATCCATGAAGTTGATGCAGATTGGACAGACAGAGTGGAGAGAGCAGTCCACGCGTGGGTTCTCGATAAAGACTCCATCTCCCGAGGTGGCGTGGTGACTGACAAAGTACAGCATGCATGTCACCGACGATGAAGACGCGCAGGTTAAATGCCCACAAAAAGGTACCGCGTGCTGAGTAGGCGATGGCAGGCACCGGGTGGGCCCCCACCGAGGGTGCTGCGAGGCCTGGTCACGGCAGCATCAGGCTCCAGAAGAGGAGACGGCCACTGTGGAGTGAGGGGAGGGGCGGGCCTGATGCACTCAGACGCCGGGACGCCTGTGGGAAGGTAACTGTGCCTCTGGGAGGCGGGCAGACCCTCCAGGCGGTGCCGGGGCGTGGCCAGGCGAAGGCCTGTGTAAGGCAGGAGGCCTGAGGACGGTTCTCGGAATTAAAACTGGGGAAAAGGCGAACAGAGAAGGCCTTCCGCCACCTCCTCCTGTGAGCCCGGGAGGCGGGCTCGCTGGGCATCAGGGGACCGTGGGAGGCAGGACCCGCTTTCCCTAGATCATCGCCATGCCAACAAGAACAGTCGTGGTCCGGCAGCCTCAGCGCAGGAGACCACTCCTTACAACGGCCACTGCATATCCGCGTGGCCCACGGGCCACGGCCACGGCCCCATCGGGGGTCGCTCCCTGCAGCCCAGCGTGTCTTCCCGTCAAACGGACGCGTGTCGGCAGCCTCTCGCCGTCCGATGGCGGACGTGACCCGTGGGCGTTGAGGTAGATGCGTGGGGAGGCGGGGAGAATTCTGTGTTTTGTGTGCAAATAAAACCCTGTATGCTGTGTAAGTGCATAAAGGATTTCCACATTTGTTGAGGCAAGGTAAGCAATTCTAAGATTGGATAAATGATCATTGATATTTGACAATGAAGGTGATGGCGCCTTCATATCACTTCTACATAACATTCATTCAGCGAGTGCCGAACCCCACCACATGGATTTGATGACGTCCAGAATATAAACACCGAGGACAGGAAACAGCTGTGACTCGCCAGCTCCCCCCGATGCTGGGAGGCGGTGCTGGCCTGGAATACCCCTTGGTGATGGCGGTAAGTCTGCTGCCCCCACACCCTCCCCATCCCTCCTGGAGGGCCGGCATTCTCCTTCCCACAGAAACCGCCCTCACTGAGGAACGGGGACCCCTGCTCCGGGGACAGGTGAGCCCCGTGGCAGCAGCGCCTGTCCTCTGGCCCCAACGGGCAGGCCCAGCGCCGGGTAAGAGCCTCATGAACGCCACCTGCGCCCCACGCCAGCGAAGCCGCACGGTCACGGTGCCGGCGGCTGCTGCTTCGGACGAAGACCATGGACACCAGCCGTCCTGGATGCGGGGCCTCCTGGCGTGTGGTGGGGCCTGGCCACGAGCAGAATAACACCTCACAGGCCGAAGCCCCCCTCGGCGTGCCTCAGGCGGAGGCTGTGTCTGTGCCTCTCGGAGCCCCTCTGAGGCTACACATCTGAACTCCGCGGACGAGAGGCAGCTTGGGTCTGAACCTCTTTGCGTATGTCCTGGAAGTACATTTCCTTGAATGTGGGGTCCTTTGGGGGAGCTTTTGATAAATATTAAGGTTTGATTAAGGAAATATACACGTAATGCCAGACGCTATTCTAAGCATTGTGTATCTGCCGCGTCATTCAGTATTCCTGGCAGTCTTACACCCTGTCACTATAGTGCTCCGTATTTTAAAGATGTGGGAGTGGAGGCACAAAAAGGAAGACCGCTAGCAGTGGGTGGAGTCAGGATTTGACCTTAAAGACATCCAACCCAATCTCCTTAAAAAAAATGTTTTTAAAAAAAATATATTTTATTGATATTTTACAGAGAGGAAGGGAAAGAGATAGAGAGCTAGAAACGTCGATGAGAGAGAAACATCAACCAGCTGCCTCTTGCACACCCCCTACCGGTACATGCCCTTGACCGGAATCGAACCTGGGACCTTTCAGTCTGCAGACCGACGCTCTACCACTGAGCCAAACCGGTTTTGGCTGTTTTTTTTTTTTTTTTTTTTTTTTTTTTTAATTGATTTTTTACAGAGAGAAAGAGAGACAGATAGAAACATTGATGAGAGAGAATTATCGATCAGCTGCCTCCTGCACACCTCCCACAGGCAATGTGCCTGCAACACAGGTACATGCCCTTGATCAGAATCAACCTGGGACCTTTCAGTCTGCAGGTCGACGCTCTATCCACTGAGCCACACTGTTAGGACTCCTTAAAAAAAGGTTTTTATTCACTTCAGAGAAGGAGAGAGAGAGAGAGAGAGAGAGAGAGAGAGAGAGAGAGAGAGAAACATCAACGGTGAGAGAGAACCATGGATCGGCTGCCTCCTGCACCGGGGATGGAGCCTGCACCGGGCATGTGCCCTGGCCAGGAACAGAACCCGCACACCTTTCCGTGCCCCAGGGACCACCCCAACCAGCCCAGCCACACGGGCCAGGGCGAACGACGGTCATGACCCAGCGTTAGGGAACGCAGCAGCGCGGCAGTCCTCGGGAGAAGCACGCCATATCGCCGTTGGTTAAAGCGACTGGAGCTCATTCCGGAAGGAAACAGCCGCGGCATTCTGCCCCCGGGCTCCCTGCCATTCTGTCCCCGGGCTCCCTGCCCGGTAGGCCACACGCGGGCGCGGGCCCCACGGCAGGCACGGCGACGGAGGCGGGACGGCGTGGCTCCTGTGCCCTCTGCGCGGCTCTGCTCCGGGGAGCTGGCGCCTTGCACTGCGGACCAGGGCGTCTCTCTGCTCAGGCACGTGGCCCCTCGCTTTTTCATCGGCCCCCCAAAATGACAGGCGGCTGTACGGTCGACAGGTGCCAACTTACCTGCGCTGCCTCTGTGCTCAGCCCGCTGGGTGGTGTGCCCGCCCCCTCCCTCTCAGCCCCGCGAAGTGCCGCTGAGCCCACGTTCCCACCCACAGGCCGCGGCGTGGCGGTCAGACCCCCCCCCCCCCCCCGCCGGCACGGTCTCCTGGTGGGACCGTCCACCTGCCCCTTCAGTTTATAATGCAGGGGCCTCTGAGTCGCTGGCCTCACCCCGCCGTCACCGGGCCAGACCCAGCCAGGAGCCAGGCCCGGGGCCCGAGCTCCGGGCACCAGCATCCTCACGGTGCTCCCTGCTCCCCGGGCACCACTCGCTCCGCTCCCCGCCGTCGGCAATGGTCTATGATGGACAGCATCCCCAGCTTCCCGCGTGGACCTTCTTTCTGCTCCGTGAGGTGCCAGGCCACAGCCTTGCTCGGACCCCGAGGACAGGGACTCTCTGCCCGCACCCCTCTCCTCCAGCCGCTTCCGCTCTGAGTCAGCTGAGCCCCGAGACAAGTTCATGACTGGTCTGGTGGCTCCCCACGGCTTCGAGCAAACACGCGAGACCAATGAAAGGGACACCTCCCTCCCCCCAAGAAATACATCTCTACCTACCTACCTACCTATTATCGATCTATCTACCTATCATCTATCTACCAATCATCTATCACCTATCTATCATTTTATCATCTATTTGACTATCATCTGTCATCTATCTATCATCTATCACCTATCATTTTATCATCCATCATCTATCACCTACCTATCACCTATCTATCATTTTATTATCTATTTGCCTTCTATCTTTTTATCATCTATTTGTCAAGTGTCTATCATCTATCTATCTATCTATCTATCTATCTATCTATCTATCTATCTATCTATCTGTCTATATATCATCTATCACCTATCTATCTATCTATCTATCTATCTATCTATCTACCTATCTATCTCTGTCTACTATCTATCACTCTGCAGCCTGTGTAAGAATTTGTAAATCTTTCTCTTATTCACCAGTTCAAACGGGCAATGGGACCACAGCGCACAGGAAGCCCAGCCAGCGGCCGAGCAGCGGACGCAGAAGAGCGACACGGGAGCCGCGTACTCACCCCGCAGCCCAGGCCGCCGCCGCCCTCGCAGGGGACCCTCCGCTGCCCGGGCTCGGGGAGCAGCCCGGCGCCGCAGCCGGGGCGCGGGCACAGCACGCCGCCCATGCGCAGCACGCACTCCTCGGCGCCGTAGTGCTGGTAGCGGCCGTACTGCGGGGACAGAGCGGGACAGGAGGCATTGCAGAGGGCGGACAAGGTGCAGCCCCACGCCAAGTTATTTAAGCAACCACGTGTGTGTGTGTGTGTGTGCGCGTGTGCGCCCGCGCATGTATTACGCACAGATAACATGCTCTGTATTATGTTTCTAACATGTATGTTGTCCAGCACCTGAATCATTTATGTAGCACATCTACGTATTTAAATCAGATGCCTCTTCCTGAGCACACAGAAGTTAGCCAGTCTGCCTTGAGTGGGACATGCTGTGTCTGCGCCACACAGCCACGCCGCAGAGGAAGTGGACAGCTCTCCTGGGGCGCACACACCGGGGCAGAGCCGGCCCCTCCACCGCACACCAGGTCCCTCACAGCCCGCCTCCCGCCATCGCTGGCTTAGCTGCCATCTCCCGCTCTCTGCTGGGGTCGGGATGAAGTGCTCTGGTGTCGGCAGGGAGGAGTGTGCTCACACAGACCCCAGTGCACGTTTCCCCCCATTTAAGGCAACCGGGGTCAGGGAACACCCCGCCCCCGGGGGAGCCCAGGCTGTCTCCTTAGCGACACGTGTGGTGTGGGGCCTCGGAGCTGCGACTCACCTGCTCGTCCCCGAGGATCCTGAAGTGATGGAGCTCTTTGATCAAGGAGTCGGGGCAGCCGGCTGTGGGAGAGAGAAATCGGTGACAAACAGGAATGCGACGGGGCCGGCCCCGATTCTGAAATGCTGGGCTGTGAGGACGCGTCTTCCTCTTTGAGCTACTGGTGAAGCCCTGGCCATCACGGCCTCAGACTCGGGGAGAGGAGCTCAGAAACAGGACCAGGTGACGTTCATCCCCTGACAACAGGCATGAAAGGAATGGACATCCTGAGGGGAGGGTTTTGGTGAAAAGCATAAATTAATGGCAACAGGCAAATCCGAGATGATAGAGACGAGAGCTCCATTCTGGACACGAGAAGGCCACTTGGCGAGCTCCTGCCCGGAGGGCCTGCGGGGAAGCGACTGGGGTGACCATGCACTCAGTGAGGAGGGGAGGCGTGGATCACGGGCTGCCTGTGATTCTACCAAGGACGGCGGTGGAGATACAGCCTTGCTTCGGCTCCTGAGTCTCCGCTGTCTTTGGGAGCCTGGCGTCCTATTTTAGATTGTGACACGAAGGAGAGAGGAACAGGCACAGGGGATTCCAGTCTCTGGAGGGTGGGAGGACCTGTGACACGGGGCCCGGACGGCTGTTCTGTTGGTGTCCCAGAAAGACTGTCCCCCCAACCCCCAAGATGTCAGAGGCCACTTCTGTTAAAGAAGCCCAGGATCCAGCTAAAGAACTGAGACTTGCTGGGACAGTATGCCGAGGGCCAACAGACTGTCAAGTCTGTGCATGTGGATGCATGGATGTATGGACAGGGGTGGGAGATTTAGGCTTACAGCTGTGAGAATGCCAAAAGTGTTTATTCTTCTATTCTTATTTACCGATTAGTGTATTATTTATTTGTATTATGTAAACCTACGTTTGCCCACCCCTGTATACTCTGTGTATTTATACATATCATCAGGTCGTATATTCCCAGAAAAGTATGGATGGTACACATTTAGGGCGTTAAGTTTGCTGTCTTTTTATTAACTTATTTATTCCTTTATTCACTTATCCACTACAGCAATCTAAAGTGCTTAATAAGCAATTTGATACTTTTATTTGATTATCATAAAGCTTTATGACATATTTATATCATCAAACTAGCTAGAAGGTTGTGTGTTTTTTGTTTGTTTGTTTTTAAAATCTCACTGGCCATTTCAAATTGCACCCTTTGAGGCGAATAATGAAAATACCTTGAGCCAAGACACCCAAACACATCCACTTATCCAAACATGTAAACGGGAAACAAACTCAAATTTCGGATTAAAAGGCCTGTTAGTCAACACTTCCCATGCCTTCTGCTCGGCCGCTGGGTCAGCCAGAGCACACAGACGGGCGTCGCTTGAGTACACAGCCAACAGATGGGTGCTTATGGCCAGCAGGCTGCGGCCAAACGCAAATATCCCACAGAGATGCCAGAGGGAGAACTGACGAGGCGCGGTTCCTTTAGCCGGAGCTGGCCTGGTTTTTGTTGGGGTGGGTGCGGGGTGGCGGGTGGGTGAGGGGGGGGAGGAGCATGGTCTCTGTTTCCTCCGTGCAGCTGCTCTGTCACTCTCAAGGTGACTTACCTTGGTCAGGCGGGGTGTAGATGAGCCAGCTGGCAGAGCTGAGTAAGCCACAGCCCACCTTGAAATTCTGCCTCCAAGTCCCATGTTGAAAAGTTAAACGTAAATCCACCCCCAGAACTCCGACCTCTGGCTGGTCTTTCTCTCTGGCGTCTCACGGATCCCAGCTGTGCCTCGGGGATGATGCTCGGAAAGTGTTTGTCCAAACGCTTAGGAGAGGGACCCTGGTCCTGTCCTCGCTTTTCTCTAGTGTAAGTTCCTCCTGAAACTCTTGTTCTGTCCTCCTAACGTGGGAAATGTTCTCTGTCAGGAAAACGGGAGCCGGGCCTCGTCGCCTGCTAACACCGTGCATTCTGCTTCTCTTCCTGTTATTCCCTTATTCTTCTTGTCCTTGCCCAGTTTGAAAAGCCTGTTTAGTTGCCTTTGGCCACTTTGAATTAGAATTGCCTCTCTCTGGCCTTATCCTGACTACAGACTATTCCATTGTTTTACCTCCTCACTCCCCCGTTATGAAATGCCTTTCTCATCTTTTGTACCAGCTTCCTAAAAAATAAAGGTAAGCTGCCTGTTTGGCATTAAAACTGAATTAAAATGTTTATTAAAAAAAACACATGAAGCCAGAATGAACTCTTACTTTTTTTAAAGGGTAACATTGAGGCCGGGGTTTTTATTTCAGACATGGACTTTTATCCTGTCCCCAGGCCACAGAGCCTTCACGCTCCAGCTGGAACTTCCTCAGGAAAACGTGCTGCAGGCGGTAGGCCACGCCCACAGAGGCCGGGAGATACTGAAACCCCACACCTGGCCAGGCCCTCAACCAGCTTCTCCAAAAGTGTTAGCGGAACCCCCTCAGTACCCGGCCTGGGAAGCAGGGGAGGCTCATTTGGAAAATAAATTCCAATAAAAAGCGTTAAAAACCACATGAGTCTTCAGTGACTATATTTTTCCTTTCCATTTCCTGGCCAATCAGCACAGGGCATGCGTGACACCCTCGGGGTTCAGTGGAACACCGGGCGTGGGGTGAGACCCGGGGTGGGTGGGTGAGCACGGCCATGGAGCTCAGCTCTCGGATGAGCTGCTGGCACCGGGTGTGACCCACAGTCAGCGTGCAGCGGGCTGCTGGTCGGCGTGAAGTGCGTGGAGGGGGATTCCTCTCCGGGCACCGCTTAGGGCCCCGTGCAGGCCGGACAGTGACAGCTCCCTGCTGGCTGCCCTGTGCGTACGCCGTGGGAAAGGAAACTGGCTAAGAAAACACATGATGACTCCATGTGATCAAAGGCAACGCGGCCACACGGAACAGCTGCCATACGGAGCAGCACACGCCGGGCGGGCGGCTCTGCGAGGGGCCGGTGGCTCCTGCCGCTCAGTGCCGCCGGGCAGACCGAGCTCCCTTCCCTGAGCTGAAGAGACACTTCCGAGCGAGGCTGAGTCCGGCGGTGAGAATCCATGGAAAATTCACGACCGCCTCTTGGCTGAGCAACCGCATTCCAAGGCAGCGGCGGGACTCGACATAATTAATCCCTTTGATACACAAGGCCCAGCCTGTCTTCGGGACTGCTCTGCCCACGGCGTTTCTTTCTGTCTACGAAGGATTGCTTTTCCGTGGCCGATGCAGAGTGGGTCTGAGCCGTCCCCAACCAGTTCAAAAGCACCTTGAAGCTGGCCGCCGTATGCCTAACCATTCCCTGGCAGGTGTGGATGAGAGAGGAGCTTAGACTTAAACAAGGAGACATGGGCAAGAGCAGTGACTGCCACAGCTGCTGTAACATGGCCACAGAGGAGGAAACATCTGGAATACCGTCCATAGAAGAGCTTACGCCACTCAGCAGGCACCCACCGTGCATCCACCCCTGCCAGGCACCGTTCGGGCTCCTGGGCTGCGTTACTAGGAAAATGGGACAGACACAAGCCCTCCTGGAGCTTGCACTCTGAGGGGGAGAGAGACACCAGGAATCGAACGCGGGACGGGAAAACGAGGTGACGCTTAGGCGGTGACGAGCACCACGTCCACAGAAGGAAACAGCAGGCCCGAGGGCGGGAGGGGGCAGGCTGGGGTCGTTTGCGATGAGTGGTGTAAGGGATCTTGCTCAAGTCACACCACTTCCCCACCGGAAGTATCTGCCGTCACCTCTGCAGCCAGCTCCCCAAACCCCACACATCCTGACTCCCCTTCCGTCCACGCAGACATTATGGTGAGGGCCAGAAGGCCATTCCGGGGAACCATACTGGAAGCCAGTGTATTCCTTAATTGGAGTCTAAATATCCAGGCTACACCTGACCGCCCTTTCATCAGCCCCAGGCTTGTCCTTGCCCCGAACCTCCCACCTGGGCCCATAGCGCCCCCTAATGACCACACATTGCTAGAGCACTCAGACCTACATCCGGGTGCCAGACCTTCATGGCGGGGCCGAGAAGGCCAACCCGGGGCCCAGGCCACAAACCGGGAGCACAGAGCTGTGACAGTGGAGTAATCTCTATGGGTAACTGAACGATTCCAAAACCCAGACATTCAGGTGAGGTACCAGACCGCCCTAGGGGTTCAGACTGAACTACCCTCACACGACCCAGACCTCCACCTGGTCACACCTCCATCCGGGACCCAGACCTTCATGGTGGGGCTGAGAACAGTACCCAGGGCCCAGGCCTCAAACACAGAATCCAGTCCTGTATCAGGGGTGTACTTGCCGATTTGTAACCCAGACCACCATTTCCATAACCCAGAGGCCCAGGTGAGGTCCCACACCGCCCAAGGGGCCCAGATATCCCCTTGCTCTCAAAAGCTCATCTTGATTGAAACACCAGGAGGGAAGTGGGAAGGAATGGAGTTGATTTTAATCCACTTTGAGTGAATTTCACCTGGTTTTCCATATTCGCATGTGAATGCCCGGTGGACACAACGCAGGAAAAGAACCCATGGGGCTGTGACCCCCGAGTGGATCCATCAGAAAGGAGACTCACCCACAGACGTCACGTCACATGAATTCCGTGAGAGCGGGCGCCGTGGGGCGAACGTGACTGAGTGATACTGTGACACAGTGAGGGTTCTTCTGAGGAGAAGCACCGAGTCCCACACAACACATGTGCACACACATGTAAGGACACGCCCTGCCTGTGAACTGGACACGCTCGGTCCCCATTTCCGAGCCCTGCTCTTTGCCATGGAACGTGTCCTTTAAAATGGTCTTCCCTGGCGTGCACTTAGGCAGCACCACATGGAAAAAATAAGCTCTATCCACAACAATGTCAGAATCAGTGCTATTGGACTCAGGAGTTGGTGCATTTCCAAAGGGGGCTTGGATTCCGCCTTCCTGTGCCTTTTTAAAAAATCTTACAGGTGTTTCACGATGTTCTTTCTCCTTTCTGTATTTGATGTCGATCTCAGTAATTTCCCTCATCACTCCTGGACTGTGCACTGTTTCTTTTATGTGTCTTAGCGTGGGCATGGCTGCACTCATTACTGAAAGGCA